ATAAATAAATTCATAACATAGTGCTGTAACATCAGTAAAATCCCTTAAGGTCTGGCACCTACACACGGGGATGCTGAGTAAATGCTCACAGAAACCAAGTGCAACTTAACTAGTTCCGTTGTGAAGAGAATGCAGAAAATTACTGATCATCTGAAATGGCAGGAAACTGGAGCTGCAACAACATTTTCCCTTTCTTTCATGCTCGTGACAACATAAGGGAAGATTTGTTTTTCTATGATTTTGATCTTTGCAGGTTTTCTGTAAACAAGCTTTGCTAATCTTCTAAATTGATGGATGTCCTTTGCAAGCACGTGTTACATGAATCTAGGACGTAGCTTACAAACTGAAGAATTAAAACACAGTCAGTTACTTTCTTCTCCAAATCTGACAAATTCCAGGTGCTTCTAAAAAATCCCTCCTGAAAGAAACATTAAAGAAATGCAAAGGAGAGTCACTGAACAAATCTGTCTGTGAAGGTGAAAACCAGTTCCCAAAGACTGGATATGAATGGCTATTTTGAGGGTTGTGAGCAGATTCATGCTGCAGGTACTAGTTGCCTTGCCTCGAGGATGGAATTTTGCTGTTTCTTTTATCCATTTGGAAGGGAAACGTTTCCCCAAAATAATTTATCTAGGAAAGTGTTGGGGGTGGCCAGGAGAGTGTGTGTGGTAGTGTCATCTCCATTTTCTTTATAATTGGGAAGTACAACCTGCTATGGGAAGGAGTGATGTGTGACACAAGAAGTCAACATTTGCATTGCTGTAATCCTTTGTGATTAACACCTCTACAATATTTTCTGTGAGAAAACTACCTGTGCTCATTGCCATGAGCCTGTGTCCCTGCTGCTGCTGAGCTCAGAGGACAGCACTTCCTTGAGGTCCGTGGTTCAGTTTGAGAGTGCATCTCCTCAAGACAGCTGGTCTTCAGTACTCCAGAGAACTTATTTCATTAATCTGCTTCTGGCAGCAGGATGATTTCTTTTTTCATGCCACTGCAGTTTCCTAAAGTAGTCTGATTACAGACTATGTGACAGGGTGGTGCTGGTGGTAGCACCAGTCATCGTCCCGATGAGTCAAGTGTGTAAAACCCACTTGAGATGCAAGAAACTCTGACATGACAACTTGGGAGGTTGGTTTTGTGTTTGGTTTGGTTTTTTCTTTTTTTTCAATTAAAAGGGGTGAAGGATGTTTTCTGATTAAGACACTGTACTGGGATCTAGGAGATCCTGGATCAGTTCTTGTGCTGTGGGCTTTACATGTGACCTTGAATTTCTCAAGCTGCTGGAATATACAGTTTTGGGGCCTTGAAACTGAGCTGAGGTACAGATGAAAGATACTTTATATCTTAAAAACAGGAGTGATATAGGTAAAGGAATCACAGAATGGTAAAGGTTGGAGGGGACCTCTGGAGATCATGTCATCCAGCCCCCTCTAGCTCTAAAAGCAATTAAAAGAGCTCTAAAAAAACAATTAAAAAAATTTTTAAAAGCTCTAAAAAACAATTGCAATAATCATCATCATCATCATCTTAGGGGACCTCTGGAGATCATGTCATCCAGCCCCCTCTAGCTCTAAAAGCAATTAAAAGAGCTCTAAAAAACAATTGCAATCATCATCATCATCATCATCATCTTCCAGGGAAAGATCACTTCCCCAAAGGCATCCCTGCTGGGATGGGATGAGGAGAACAAAACCTCTCAGTTTGTCCCTATGACTTGGTGATGAATTCTCCCACAAACTGAGCCCCAAAAGGGATGATGTGTATTTATACCTTTTTCTGATACTGGGTGGGGATGTGGCTGTGGGCAGGCAAGTGTTCTGTGTAATTAGCACAAAACTTCCTTATCTGGATCTCCACAGTAAACAACTGCCACGAGCTAGGTGGGAGACTGGGGTGAGCAGCCTTCCCTGCATCCCACATTCCTTATCAGGGCCTCAAGGACACAGAGCAGTGAGTCCTCCCTCAGCCCGTGTCTGCCCTGGCACCAGATGTTTGTCAGCAGTGTGGAGCTCTGGGAGTTTCACTGGTTTTGTGCTTCCCAGGTCTGAGGCCTGTTGGGATGGAACCTCCTGGGTTCCAGTTGGTGCCCGTTGCCCCTTGTCCTGTCCCTGGCACCACTGAGCAGAGTCTGGCCCCAGCCTCTTGCCCCCCGGGGCCCTTTAGCTCTTGCTCAGCACTGCTCAGATCCCCTCTGAGGCTTCTCTTCTCCAGCTCAGCAGCCCCAGGGCTCTCAGCCTGGCCTGGCACAGAGATGCTCCAGCCCCTCAGCAGCTTCAGAGCCTCTGCTGGACTCTCTCCAGTAGCTCCTTGTCTCTCTGGAACTGGGGAGCCCAGAATGGGACCAAATACTCCAGAGGTGGCCTCCCTAGGTCAGAGTAGAGAGAGAGGGGAGCCTTCCTCAACCATGCTGACAACATTCATATTAATAAACCCCAGAAAACCCTTTAAGAAGTTCATCTCTCATTACATATCTCTGAAACAGGGAACGAGAATAATGAAAACCAGAAAAGAATGGTGGGTAATGGGAACTTAAAATCAACATCCACTCCATTCCCATGACCAAACCCAAGGTGAGCTGCCTAAGCCATACATGTTACCTGGGTTTGCAGCGTTGCTGTAGGAGTCCACTCATCAAAGACCAAAATGGGCCATGGGCTATGGGCTGCAGTGTGATTCATGAGCTGCCCCAGTGAAATAATGATCTTCTTCAGAACTCAGGATCCCTCTGTTGAATCTGTCCCTCTCAGTGTCCCTTTACAAAGCTTCATTTTGCAGAAGGAACTTTATAAACCATGAGACCTCACAATGAGTCAGATGTGGAGATAGCAATACACAGCTTGAGCCTTTTGGCTCCAGCTCCCTGGCTTTGTCTGGAGCACGTTGTCTGAAGGGGCTAACATCTGTACCACTCAGTGACAGCACCAGGCAGCCTCTTCAGCAGAGTTTGGATTTTCCACCCTATGACTCTTGCTGGAGATACTTAACCTCTCCTTGTAATTTTTATCTAATAGTGCTTTGCATTTATCTTATGTTGTTATCCAAACACTCAACAAACACTAATTCACTGCAATAAGTGTAAGTGGACAGTAGTAAACAAGTGAATTAATGATGCTCTTACCCATTGATTAATAGGAGCCATGCAGCCAAAACCAGACACAAACATTTGTGTCCCAAGGCACTGTGTTAAAGAAATGCCTTTTATAAATCATAATAATAGGTGAAGAGCTGCAGATTTTTCAAAACTTGGTCTTTTCACTGGCAATCAGGCATCTAGATGACATGATTTCAGCTAGACCAAAGCCTTGTTTTGGGCTGGAGAGTTTTGTCAACTTATGTTGGCTTGTTTTGGTGTTAACTTCTGTGCTTCCACAGTTACTTGACATAAACTTGGCAGAGTCTGAGGTTTGTGTTCGGTTGAATAATTCCACTTCCCTAGTAGTATAAACTCAATTATACATCCCAGTGTGGGCCCTGGGGGTAGTCAACTCTTGACTGCCACAGCTGGATCCAAACTCTTTCACTTGTGGAGCAAAGGGACTCCCTGGGAATGGGAGTTAAGAAAATCAGTAGATGTGTGGGAAACAAGAAGACCAGGGGATGTTTTGTGAGCAGAGCTCTTGAACAGCAGCAAGCTTCTGTACTTGAAACAAAACACACCTATCCCTTTTTCCCCCAGGACAATTAAAACTTCACAGGCTCCAGAATTCTGTCCAAGGAAGAACAGTTAAAGCATAAACCCTGTGTTTCCAAAAATCTGGTTGGAGTAAACCCACATGAATATGATACCTGAGAGTCAAGTTTAATCATTCTGAAGTTATCCAGCTTCAGGGTTCAATGCAAAATAAAAAAAAAGCCTAATTAAACCCTCATAGTAGAAGTGGTAAAACTACAGAGGGTTGGTTTCCAAGAGTTAAATATGATTATGGGTTCTTATGAAACCTTAGTGGATCTCAAGGGGGGAGAGATAGTTTGGTTTCTATGTCAAAACCAACCCTCTACCTGCCTCCATTCTACCAGCAAGCAGGTGGTGGCACCAGTGGTCTTCAGCAGTATATTGTCACTTGGAGCACCTCCTAAAACTTCAGTTCTCAGGAGGGTTTAGGTGGTGTTAACCCTTTCTCATAGCTGAAGAGCCATGTGGAAAGCACAGGGAGGCCACTTACCTCCAGTACTGCTTCAGTTATTCAGAAATTATGTATTTTTTGATATTTGGTAATGAATCTACACATCTCCTCCTAGTGTGCTTTTAAACCTCTTGCTGTATTTGGTTCCACTCCCTCTAATCACTTCTTTTCCCTTTCTGCATTGATCATTGATTCAGTGTCATGCTTTGGAATAGCTGTATTGACTTGTAGGGGTTTTTCCCCCCCTCTTATTGTTTTCTTAGAAGTCTTGCTTTAAAAACTGGCACTTTGTGTCCCTGCTCTTGCCTGGCTCCTGCTTGAGTCCTGCTTTGCTGACAGGCAGCTGCCCTTTCTGTTTTGTTTTCTGGCTGCTGTTATAGCTGCTGATAGTTGGCTTACACTATTTCTGGGCTGATTTGATCTATATCACATAAACTGTTTCTATGTTTATCTCCCTTCTTGTACAAGCATTGAATGATAATGATCTCCTAACTATCATTATTTATATGTAACAGTGGGTGAGGGACTTGTTCCCATTTCACAGATGAAGGAATTGAAGGCTCAGGGAGGTTGTGGACAATGCATGTCTGTGGTAGATTTGGCTTCCCAACCTACTCTTTGCTTGTGGCTTCATTGTGCTGATTCCAGGATGTGCCTTGAGTAAGGTTAAAAATAACAGCAGGGAGAAGTTAAAGGAGGTAGGGGTGGGGCAGGGAAGCTTGAACTCTACTTTTTCTGTGCTTGAAACATTATGGTTCCTGGGCTTTGTAAGATGCACCTTTTATCAGTCTATAAACCACTTTAAAATGTTTTAAAAAGAACAAGTTTTCTCTTCCTCTTTCTCTCTTTTCCTTTTGTTTTGTTCTGTCTTTACAGGGATCAGTCAGAGCCGGATCTCCCATTGGCTGTTGCAGCAGGGGTCGGACCTGAGTGAACAAAAGAAAAGGGCATTTTACAGATGGTACCAGCTTGAGAAGACAAATCCTGGTAAACAAATACAGCCTGAACATCTCCTCCTGTTTTATTTATGGAAAATTTTATCACTGATCATTCACTTCTTGGTCTGGTGTGCTACAGAGGTATTCCCTCTGACCAGCTTACTTTTTAGGAGGGTAGGAACAAGTCTACACTTTGCTTTGCAGCAAATGATCCAGAGCTGGCTCATCCCCAGCTGTCTGTCCAGCTCCTCAGTCACAGTTACTTGACCTATCCTCTCACCACTAACTCTGGAATCAGAAGCAGTCAGTGAAGTTCTAGTCAGCTAACATGAAATACATGCTGAGGTTCTTCAGAATGAACAAACAGAAAACATTAGTAATGGCTGCACAGTATAAAGTTGCAGCAAAAAGCCCAGATTTTATTAGAGAGGAACTCTGGGATAACTTTAGAGGGTTTGGGGTTGGATCTCAAGCTCATGGATAGCACAGAATCATAGAATCACTTAGGTTGGAAAAGACCTTTAAGATTATTGAGTCAAACCATTAACTCAGCACAGCCAAGTCTGTCACTGACCCATGTCCCTCAGCACCACATCTCCAGGGCTTGGAAACCCCTCCAGGGGTGGGGACTCCACCACTGCCCTGGGCAGCCTGGGACAGGTCTACCACAACCCTTTCAGGGAAGACATTGCTCCTTGTGTCCAACCTAGACCTCAAGTGCAACTTGAGGTCGTTTCCTCTTGTCCTGTCCCTTGTCCCTTGGGAGCAGAGCCCGACCCCCCCCTGGCTCCAGGCTCCTGTCAGGAGCTGTGCAGAGCCAGAAGGTCTCCCCCGAGCCTCCTTTGCTCCAGGCTCAGCACCCCCAGCTCCCTCAGCCTCCCATCACCAGACTTGGGCTCTAAACCCTGATAGTTGCAGTGTTAAGTTGGAGATGGGTCTCTCAAATCCCACCTGCTTCTACACATCTCAAAATAGATCTTAAATACAAAAAGAGAACTAAAGCTCCTCATTATCTTTAACTAACCAGCAATCTTCAAAATGACAGTTGAATTAATTTCCTTGCATTGTTCTTCTCCATAGATTTTGACCACAATTCTTTTTTTTCCCTTTAGCAGTTTTATTTGTAAAGATCAAAATATTTATGTTTACTTTCAATTAAATGATTAAATTAACTGTGTAATTGTTTTAAGGAATTTAAGACTCGGGCTCTCTAATGTGAACTTGGCTTCAGTAGCTAAAATTCTATCAAGAAAAAATTCCAGTGAAAACAAATCCTCAGAACTTCTGCTCTGTGTGTAAGCTGAAAATCAAGAGGCTCCAGCTGTCAGTTGGCCTGAGAATACTTCAGCTTAACGTTGGGTGGGGAAAAAGTGACATCTGAGCCTGTCCTTTCTGTTTAAGCATCTAGAAATTTGTTCTAAAGAGTGAAAGTGCCAAGGGTTGTGAGGTGTGGGCAAGCTGCAGGGATTGGGGAGAAACCTGGATTTTGCAGTGGTAGAACTGGGATATTGAGGATCAGCAGCATTACTGGGTACAACCATTCAGACATCATAGAATTGTTTTGGTTGGAAAATACCTTTAAGGTCATCAAGTCCAACCAGGAAACTAACAGGCCCAAGTCCACCACTAAACCATGCCCCTAAGCACCTCATCTACACCTCTTAAATCCCTCCAGGGGTGGTGACTCCACAACCTCCCTGAGCAGCTTGTTCCAGTGCTTGATAACCATGCTCTGGAAGCCTCAGTCTGTACCCTATGGAGTAACTCTCAGCCATTTCCCTTTGGTGGAGGATATTGCCTCCAAAACTGTGGAGAGAACTAGAAGGTTTTGGAAGGTTTGTTTTGGAAAGAAAAAAAAAAAACCAACCAGAAGTCCTCTCCTGATGATGAAAGGTGTTGTGTGGATCTTCCCTACCCCCTTGAATCTTTTCTTCCCAGTATCATTTGGAGCTGTTTAAGAAATAGTATTCTGTGCTTGGATAAGAGAAACCTTGTGAAACCAAGCACTAAAATCTTTACTTACTCCTCTTAACCTTCTTTCTTTCCCCATAATCACAAGCTCACATCTTGGGTGTACTTTTGCTCTTGAGAAGTGCTTAAGAAAGGAAAACCGGAAACACTGCAGGTTAACAGCTTAAACTGGAGTGAATCAGCATTAACCTTGACTTTTCTGATGTCTTTGTCTTGCTGAGGTCGTGTTCACTTCTCTTTATACACATGTGGAGAAACTTCTTGAAAAGTAGGTGTTTGAGTTTAACCTTTTTTCAAAGAAGAATTCTTAGAGATCTGTAATGGTTTAGGGTCAGGGCTGCCCCCAGATCTGTAACAGATGCTCTCTGTTAACCCCTCTGCCCCCCAAAAGAGTGTTATCACTGCTAGAAGCAAACACTGGCTGCCAAAATCTGCTGTGAACTTCAGAAAGTGCAGTCAGTTAGAAAAGTTTTAGCTGAAAAGTAAAATCACTGAACAGATTTAGTTCTTTTCTACCCCAAACCAGGAGAACAGGATTTTGAAGAGATATAAAAGGCAAAATATCTCCTCTGCCTATGCCAAGGGACTATTTGGATGCCCTTAAACTCCCTGTAGAACTAATAACGTTTGGTTTCTGTTTAGAGGCTGAGGTAAGAGGAGGAGCTCTCAGTTTTCCCATAGCTGTTGGAAAAGTCTGCTTGAGGAAAATGTTTGTGTTATTTATTGTGGGATAATCCACTGCTTTGAATTGTTGCCATCTTCTGTATTGCAGCTCAGACCAACTAGCCAGGAGATAATTAATTTGCATTATATGCAAGCATATACATATTGTGGGATAATCCACTGCTTTGAATTATTGCCATCTTCTGTATTGCAGGTCAGACCAACTAGCCAGGAAATAATTAATATGCATTATATGCAAGTATATACAGTGTATTAAGGATGGTATCAACCTTGTCTAAAGCATCCTGGATTTAAATTGCTGTTACAAAACCAATTTGGAGCCTAAGTTTGGGTACTACTGCCAGTATCCTGTGACTAGCAGACTCTTTAGCCTCAGAAAAGAAGGAAATCAGTAGAGCCTCCTGCTATGTGCACCAGGAGGTGATGCCATCACTGTGCTCTCTACTCTAGACTGTAGAAGATGTTTTTGTAGATTGTAGAAGATGGTTCCTTGGAAGAAACATAAGTGATTAAATGTCTGACATGTTTTTTCTATTCCCTCACTCACTAGGAAGTGACATTTGGCTTTCTATTCTTGTATATCACATCTTTTCCAGTTCCAGCTGCTGGGAATAAAATCCCAACCCATCTCCTTTGGGTGATAGAGTCAGGTCTCTGCACAGATGCACCTATGTGTTTGAGTTACCAGGGGGCAAAGTGAGGTCTTTGGGAGCTTCTGGTTCTCCCCTCTCTTTAGTTCTGCATTTTGGAAAACTGGATCTGCAGAGTAAGTCCATTTTCTGACTGAATTTGTTTGTGTAATTATGGAAAGAAGACTTTTGCTTAAAATTGGAAGAGTTTTGAAGGACTGGGCCAGCAGAGCTAATCAATTTATGAACTGCAAAGAAAGAGCAGTTGTTTCATGAGTGAAGGAATGGAGATCCCTTGGCACACCTGTAGTGGCTCTGCCAGCTTTTCTGTATGACTTAGCAAATGATTTCACCTTTGCACCTCACTTTCCCATCTCCTAGAGGAAGATGAGACCATTTTCCTGTGTATGACTTCCCTGCCTTCCCTGGAAGCCCTGTGTGGCAGGAATTGTGTTATACTCAGATACTTCACCCAGCCAGGAGTTTCTAGGAATACAGGAGACAAAAGATGACTTCTAAATACATCAGAAGAGGTTCTATTTTTCTTTTTTTTCCAGATGCATAATGGTGCTGTATAACACTTTAAATCATCCACAAGCAGTCCTGCATCTGCTAACCAAAGAGCTTCGTGCTGTGGAGCCCTAGGGCAGTTTTGGGATGTTGAGACAGTGTTAGATGGTGCTCCTATGCCAGAGAGACTCAACAGTTCCTTCATGTTCATTCTTTACTTTGGCCTCTTGAATGTGCTGTTGTTCACTTGGTTTTCATGGCTTATTTACCTGGGTCCTTTCTATATTTCTCCTGTCTCAGGCAAGAGCAGATTGGAACATTGCAAAAGAGACATGATGTCTCATGGAGCAGAAAAAAACAAAAACCAAACATTTTTTCTACTGTATGTAATACTCCTGCTCAAAAATTTCTTGATAAACTTTTTCCTGGTAGGAGTGATTTTGGAGTTAATACCAGTGCTGCAAATTCCAGTGTACTAGTGATTGTAAATTCTTCTGGAAACCGTTGCCAGTTAGAGTGAAAGGCAGGTTTTTGTTGAAGGGAAGAAGTCAGTGCTAAAAGCTCGTGTTTAAAAAGTCTTTAATCCATTTAATAGGGGTGCTTTTCATTTAGATCAGGCTTTTCTTTGGAGAGGCACCACATCTCTTGTGTTTTGTAGAGGACTGAGGGCATTTTGGCAGCAGATAAATGGTGTATGTTTCAGTAGCCAGTATATGAATGCATAGAGTCTTATAATGTAACAATTGTTTTTTTCAGAGCCCATGGGTTTTAAATAAATAAAATAATAAATAAAAATAATAAATTTCTTTTTACATTGGTGGTAGTCAGCCTGATAAGTTTGGCTGGTACCAGGTCTTGTGCAACGTGGAAAGTTTCTTGTGGAGTAACTTTAGCATGGCTTCTGCCTCTGTGTGCTGCAAACTGAAGCTGGCTCCTAGAAATGATGAGCTGAAGTTCCAGATGGATACAGATTGCTTCCATTTAGGCTGGGTTTTTATTTCTGCCAGTCTTTTGCAATAGGAAGGCAGCTGTGGTCACCTTGGGGAAAACCATGTGGTCTTCCTCCTTGAACAAAAGGGAAAAA